GGATAGTCTAAGTGTTATTATAGTATAGCATAGGGTTCTTATTTAAGGTAAGCCCTTATATTAGCGGAAGAAACGTTTCTTACTAGATTAGTTCTAAGCCTGCATATAACGCTGCAAGTAGCTCCGCTTCTGTTATAGACTTAGTAACAGTTAACTGTCGTACTACCTTCTAATTAACTAGTCTATTAAATAGGCTAAACAACTAACCCTCTTATAACTGCCTTGTTCCTTTATAGTTACTATAAGAGGCATTAGAAGCACTATAAAACTTATTAAGCTTATATATTAAGTATGCCGTAATTGTTAGTCTAGCATTATTATATTCTAGATATAGGTCCTTCGTTTAAAGGAGGTACTTAATACACTAGTTAGCAGTAGCTATATCCTCCTACCTAGGGTTCTATAGAGCCTTTAATAGTAGTAATACTGCCTTAGCAATTTCTAGTCTTATTTAGACTACTACAAAGTTTAGTAACCTAATACGGCTCTAATATGCTACTATAGCGGCTAGATCTAGATGCGTTTTGCTAACCTTATTAGGTATTAGCTTCTTATATAGCTTATACCTAGTTAGTAGTAGTGCTTTAGCCCTTCGACTAGTATCGGTACTAATAGTATACCGCTAACCTATCTTCTTAGTATATGTTTTCTATAATAACTATAGTTGCTTAGTATTACGATTGCGCTTTACTTCAATACTAAGGAACTATAATAGCTTACTAAGGTTATTAAGCTTATATTCTTTTATTAGGCGTTGCTTAAGGTCTATTGCCTTCTACTTATAAAGAGGGTAATATAATAATACTATATTATTAACGTAAAAGAAGATAAATACATGCTTGTCGGTATCGGTATATAGGCAGTCTATATTGTCTACTAGTTGCATGCTAAGCTTGTTTTCTAATATTATAGTAAAGTAATTATACTATAGTCGAGGTAACTCGTACAATCTATATAATACTTAGATAAGCCTTAGTACCTTGCCCTTCTACTTAAAACCGTTAGGCGGCCTAAGGTATAGTATATATAGTAGAGTAGCATTCAATAATGCGTTAATAGCATCTAGTTAGTCCGCTTCTAGGTTAAACTTAACGGTAATAGCTATTAGAGCTCTAAATACTCGTATAGCTAGTATCGAAGTATATATATCTAAGTATATATTCCTCTATAGGTTACCCCTTGCGTATACTCTTGCCTTAAACTTCACTAATCTTCCGCTAGCGTCGCCTTTGTATTTAAACACCTAGGTAAGCGGTAGAAGACTTAGTTTATCTAGCATTTTATTAATATCTACCTACTTAAATGTTCCTATTTTAAGCGCCTTATTAAACTCAGCTCTTATAGCGTATATCTAATGCTCTTTAAACTTGCTCTTAAGTACCTGTCGCTAGTTACGTAGCTCCGCTAGTAGGCTCGAAACTTTTAGTATAAGAGTTAGATTATACTCTTCGCGTAGAAGTAGTAGCGGTTCTAGGGAATTAGATAGATTAGACTTATTTAGTCGAGTTCGAGTAGGCTATATAAAGCGTACTTTATACTCGGCGGCTATTTAAAGGCTACTAAATAATAGAAGGTGCCTTACTTGCTCTCGATTGTAGTAGATCGTAGCTGTTCGTTATCGCTTATTTAGATTGTTAACGCGGTAGTACGGACCGCCTTAATTTAGTAAGTAACGATAAGATATATTAGCGGCTTCAATTAGTATTAGCAATTTAGCTAGCTTAGTATATAGCAAGTTGAAGTCTATATTATCTATATAACCTAGTACGTCTATATTGTTAGTAGAGGCTTTATCGCTAGCATCGTTCTTAGAGGATCCTTATTAGGCTAATCTATTTAATATATTATTACGAGGTAGCTAAGTATTATTTAGTTTAACTAGAAAGTCTTATTACTATATAGGCTATTGCTTCGGTACTAGGCTAAGTTATTTAACTAATAGCGGCGTAGTTAGTAGTAGCTATTCTTAGTCTAGATCTACTAGCCCTATAGAATCGACAATTATTAATCTTCTAGGTTCTAATAGTATATCTACCCCCTTAGCTCTAAACTATACGAGGTCTAAGGGTATATTATAGGCTTCTCGAAGATTATTAAATTAATGCCCCGAGGCGGTTGTTTATAGTTCTTCGAGATTACTAAATTAAGTTAGCTCTTAGTTAGTAAGGTTAACTCTAAGATTATTATCGTATCTATTATAGAACAGGGTTTCGTTAAAGATAACATCCCTTATTCGTAGGGCTATTATTCGTAATAGTACCTAGATCCTATAGATAGAATAGCCTTTATAACTATATAGGTATCTAATATAAGTACGTAAAGCTACCTTTATAGTTCTTAGTAGGATATCCTTTCGCTTATACGATGCTAGGTCTGTTTCCGTACTATAGATTAGTAGATAGGCTCGTACGCTAAATTAGTATATATAGGCTATATTAGGCTTATATCTAGTTCCGATTTTAAATAGTGTCCTTATTAAATAGTCGGTAGAGCGTAACCTAAGTAAACGATTAATTAAGAAGGTTGCTATATAAACTCCTTCTAGCTATAGCTTATATAGAAAGCGTATATGTATTATAAGGGCCCTAGCTACTTTAATAATAGTGCGGCCTACTCGTTCTACTAGGTCTTGCTTAGGGGTATATAGTGCTAATAGCCTCTAGGTAGTATAGTTATTACGTAAGTAGGAACGAAAACGCATTCTACTAATCGCTCCTTTATTATCGGATAATAGGTAGATAATGTCCCTACTAATACTACGTACGAATAAGGCTAGTTAGCTCTAGTATTATAGCAAGGTTGATTTAGTTCGATTGCTAATAGTCTAACTAAAGTAAAGTCCTATATTTAAGTCGTAGGTATAGAATAGGTACCTATTACTATTATAGGCCGTGTCTAGCTCTATTAGGTTAGTAGCAATATAACTATATAGAGTAAGGATAGAAACGTCGTACTTTCGTAGCCTTCTAGAAATAAGCTTCTTGCCCTTAGCCTAAGCATATACTAGGTATAGTAGTGTCCTTAGCACCTTAGTGTTATATAAGTGTAAAAAGGGTTATGTTAGCAGGTAGACAGGGCAGCAGTAGGTATAGGTAGTATTCGATAGAGAACTAGGAGGAGAAGGAGGAAGGCAGGCTAGTTAGCCTAACGCTAAGCGCTAAGCCCTGCCTAAGGCACTAAGACCCTAGCTTCACTCGAGCTAGTTACATACTAATTACGCATAGCCTCTAATACACGCTTCCCTTCTAAAGGCCGCGCCCTCGTAGCCTTTCTATATTCTAACCTCGACCTCCGTTGCTACTAACTTAGCAAGTCTAATAAGCTGCTTAGCCGCGCTAAATTAAACACTTAACTACCTGATTATGTAACTATGTCAAACCTTACCTTCTAATACAATGTCTAACTTCTAACTGCGCTATCT